TAAAAGATTTATTTATAGGCTTTAAGCATTTTATAAAAATACAAATTTAGTTTGAGCTTAGGATTAGTATAGATGAAATACCTAAATAAAAAGATTTTTTAAAATTAGGAAATCCCATGATTTCAAATGATTCTCTTTTGTCATTATGGCTTAAATAAAATTAATGCCAAGCGAAAAAAATATAGCTAAGAGATTTGAAATTAAAATATATAAAGAGGATTGCATTTAATCGTAAGCTTAATAAGAAAATTTTCGGTTGTTATATCTCTAAGCTATTAAAATCAAATTTCAATTCCATATATATTAAGATTTAAGCTCAAAAAATTTTATTGCTTTGAATTCTAATTTTAAGAAAAAGAGAAATTAAATTGAAATCCTATTTATCAATGTTTTTAACATTATTCCTCATTATTTTTGTTGAACTTGCTTAAGAATTTATTCACTTACTATTAAATTTTATCAATCCAATTAGAACAGACATAATCAATAGGAGTCATATAAATTGAGTCATTTTATAGTTCTATATCCACTACATATTCCGATTGAAGTTGTTCGAAAAGTTTCATTTGACATTAAAATACTGAGTTTCTTAATCATTAGGTATCTATTCAATTTTAAAGTGAAAAATGCATTTTTATATTTATTAAGTTCAGTGTTAAAATTGCTGCCTAATATTGCTAACTTTATAGTATTTCCATTCTAATAATTCAAACTGAAAATAAATAATTGGATAAGAATCATTTTGAAGAGTAATAGAAGCAATGTGTTTTTTATTATGAGCTTTTGGTGGTCCTGCTAATGTTTTTCTTTAATTGTCTTAAATGAATTCTTATTATTTCTCTATCCAATCCAAATAATTGCTATTATTTTAGATTGATAAGCGGAACGCTTGTTGGTTAATATACAGACCTCTAATATCAGGTATTCTGGGAGATAAATTTGAATTTGAAAGAGCTTTTAGCATTTTTGGAATCATAATTATTGACATATTTTTTATTTATTTTCCCATAATTTTTATGAATTTTAAAAAATGAATAAATAAAAGAATTATTAAAAAAAACATTTTGTATATAATATTTTTCTTTAGCCTTTCAATTTTTGTTCTATTAATTCTATGGTTTTATAGATTCAGATTGCAATTTTTGATCCTAATATTTTATATAAATCAAATGAATAGCAACAAACTAATAAAAACTTAGTAAAAAAATTAATCCTATGGGGAGTATGGGGAGGAATCCACTAGACATCTAAGTGAGATCTTAGAAAGGAAATACACCTAAATTGAATAACCTCCTTCTTAAACTATCAACTTTAGAAGCCTTAGATAAAGGTTTGGATTAATTTAAGATAAATATCCTTTACCACTTAAATTTGAATAATTATTATAAACCATGAAAACTATCGAGATGACTTATTGGAACAAATAAAAACCTATCACTTATGAATTTAAAACTAATGCTTTCAGGATCTTATAAATTGGATAATTATTTGAACTTGATATAGTGCTTTATTAAATTAAAATTGCAGAAAAATCTGTTTAAATTATTCCTAAAGATGTTCTAATTAAAAATTTGCCTTCATGAATAAAGATAAAATGGCCGAATAAATTCATTTTTTGATGAAAATTCAACCAGATGTTTTGTAGATAAAAAATTAAAAAAAAGAATAACTAAGGGTAAAATGGATAATATAAATTAATAAATAAAGCACTGAAGAAAATTAAATTCTTTAATTGAAAAACTTATTTTTATTGATTTGATATATTTTATTTCTTTTTTTTAAATGATGTTTGGATAAATTTTAACAAGTTTAAAATTTATGTCAACTTTTTATAAATGAACATATTCAAATAATTAAATAGAAAGTAAACTAAAAAACATCTTTTTGATGTTTTGGTTAAATCATAAATAATATAAATATTTATCTTTAAAATTAGTTTTCTTAATAATAAAGAAATAACAAAAAAACAACCTGCTAGGCTTCAACTCAAGAAAATGAAGTTTTAATAGTAAATAATTTTTATAATGATTGAAGCAAAGTTAAAAAGAAGCTGAATAAACTTTGATTCAGTTTATTCGGCATAAAATACTAAAATAGCATCAGCAAAAATCTTGTTGAATCACATTCAAATCTGTGACTTTGAGGTCAGCAAAAATTAATGAAGGAGAGCATAGAAACGTTAAATGGAGGATTATTCCTTACTGGTAAAGTTCCATAGATTAGCTTGTAGAAATTGTTAAAATATTATGCAATTATTATAGCTATCATTTTATTCACTGAAAAAGATGGTCAATAATAATAAGACTGATAAATATGAAATTTAAAAATTTTTTCAAAAAAATCATGAAGTATTATTCAAATTAAATGCAAGCCTGATTCTCAGACTAATTTAGAAAATTTAAAATGAACCTTAGGTATAGCCAAAAGAGGTTATTTATCAAGGTTTATGTGAAAAAGCTGGAAAAT